CCCCCCCCCCTCCCATTGTCAATCTCGACGTCTCCCCCCGCCTCCATACCCGCTCGTCAACCCCCCACCCTCACCGGTTGTACAGCAGGTCGGGATCATCGAGCTCTGTCACCACCCCATCCTCGTCTACCTCGTAGTTGTTCGGGAAGCTCACGTAGCCGCCCACCGGGAGAACCCTGAGTGCGTACTGTCGGCGCAAGAAGAGGGCGTGGGGGTAAGCACCGCACAATGCGAGCGCACGATGTCAACATGAACGCCCGGAGAAGACGGGGTGTCGCCAACAGCAGCAGCTGACGTGGGAAAAAAAAAAAGAAGCAATGCCATCAAAGAAAGCATGGATATCACGCTCAGGAAGCACGTCGACTCGCACCATGGTATGAGTCCAAGTCACAAAAACATCGTTTTTGTGCGACGAAGTAGTACAACAGTGGGATAACATGTGCAAGGTCGCTCGTGGGCGGTGGGCACCAACCTCACTCCCACCCGGGCGCCTCGCGGCCACTTTGGATGTACAGCACCATGTTCGCTCCAACGCCATCAGGCGCCCACAGGCGTAACAACAACAACAACAACAACAACGGCGACAGCGACAGTGAGGGCAACTCCAACATAGTCCCCACCACAAACCCCGCCACTAACATCAGCAACAACACAAACATCGTGGCAACGAGCAACACCGGCCACGCATTCATAGCGGACCCATCCCCACCCCGACCACCTCACCTCCACTCCTTCCGGCTCCTTCTTCTCCACGACCACCTCTTCTTTCGGCTCCTCTTTCTTCTTTGACCACGCCCAAATGCTGGTTGCTTTTTTTACCTCCTTTTTCTCCGGCTCAACTTTAATCTCTTCAACGCTTTCCCGGGACGAGAACGGCCCCGAAAGCTTCCCCTGCAATAATCCGCCCTTCCCGTCCGCCGCGCGGTAAGAGAGTAGCTTCGGACCTAGGCCGACGGAAAACGCGTCCACCTTGGCGAGGAGGTGACGAACAAAAAAAAAAAGATCGGGGAGAAGGTACGTCCAACCCAAACTTTGAGTGAGCGGCGGCGAAATTGTTGTGTCATCGCAAAAAATAGCAGCTCGTCGCCTTGCTGGCAGCGGCAGCCGCGAGGTTGTGTCATATCGTGTTGGCCGAACCTCCACGAGGGTGTGTCGAGACACTATTGATGCACAAGCAAGCCCTTCGTCGTTGGTTTGCGTCCATCTATAAATACTTTACCTTGTGTCGTTGCCGAAAACAGGAAACAACAGCCCTGCAGACGAATACTCCCCACGCTGAGGACGTGCATCGAACGGACTACAAGCTGACCAGCAGCAGTGGCGCAGCCTTGCTCAGTGCAGCACAAAACGCACAGCAACACAGTGGGGCTAGCCGTGCCTGGCGTTTCTCAGCAAGCGGAAGCAGAATGATCAACCCCGACCCTCCTCCTCCTCACCTTGATGCCCTGCGATAGCGCCGCCACAAGGTGTCCCACCTCGTGCAGCGTGATTACCATCGTCAAGACGCCCAAGGACGCCAGGAGGGCCAAGTTCCCCGCTGCTGCGGAGCTCCCCGTGGCGGCCGCAGTAGCAGTAGCAGCAGCAGCGGTTGTTGCAGCCGTGGCTGCCTTCCCCGTCGCGACGCTCGTTGCCACCGCCGTTGTGGTTGCGGCTCCCGCAGCGGTGAGCGAAGCCGTCGGGGTCTGTTTTTTTTTCGGAAGGACGGCGTTCGACAAGTTAAGTTCTGTCCGCGCCAACGGTATGCAGATGGGACGTAATCCACTCCGTGCCTACGTTCTTCTGTGTGTGATGAGTGCATCATGGCGTATCGGCAGGCAAGGTGCTGGTACCATGTCGAGAGGTACTGGCGGAGGCAGGAAGAGAAGTACTTCTACAATCAAGCACGCCCATGTACAACCGATACAATTTCAAATTCCAGGGCGTACATATGGAATCCAAGCGTGCGGTTAGCGCTTGAGAGGAAAAGTAGCGAGGCCGTGTCCTGCTGCTGATGTGTACGCAGGTGCTGCTGACTGTTTGCATTATCCGCGGGGGTGATGTGGCACCAGTCAGTACATCAGCAGGGATCTAAACTCGCCATTGTACTGCGGAATAGTCGTCGACGATGTAGAGTTTGGGTTGAAATGAGGCCTCCTGCTACG